CAGCTTCTGATATTGGAGTACCCCAAAAGAAGACCTATAGGAGATAAAAATACATCCTTCCAGACTGTCCCTCCTCAAAACAAGTCCAGGAATAATTTGCCAGATTCTGAATATGATCAGTTTATCATTTCTTCAGTCCTTTTGGGAATAGAAACTCTTCCTGAATTTCTGTCCATAGTCTATACTTCCAGGTGACAACTAATTAAGTAAACCAAAAGTCCTCCTTATCAAAATGTCTTGAAAACTTGTTGATTTGTGATTTTATCATAATATGTCTAGAAGATATATCAATAATGTAAACTCTAAGGAAGTAAAATATGTATTTTTATTTGACATTTTGTACAACAGTGTGATTGAAATTTATAAAAGATGATGATTAAAAAAAAGCCTCCATAATCCCAATGTTGACTCCTCTTTTACAATCCCCTTTAGCACTGACAATGTCTGAATTTTAAGTGTGAACATCTTGGAATCTGACCTGAACCACAAATTCTGAATGTGATATCCAATGAATAATTTATAAATGGTTCATTTCAGAAGTTGCCATTCATACTAAAGTAAATTAGGGGAAATAAATAAGTTGTGAATGCATAACAAGCCACAAGTTACAGCCACAGGCTAAAAGCTGTAGATCCATTTAAGTAATACAGATATTATTTCTAGAGGCAGAAAATATATAGTAGTACAATATTAATGTAGGTGTCTCTTTATTTTTGCAATTAGTAGTTTGGAATCATCTGCTGAAGGCAACATTTTAAATTCCAAATGCCAAAACTGCAAAATAGGAATTATATTGTTATAGGGCTAGGAAAATTTATTTGATTTCTATGTTTCAGCTTTATCACTTGTGAACAAAATTGTTGTAATTTTTTATCTCACAGGGATAGGATGAAAACTATATGACTTAAGATACCATAAGGACTTTAAGAATCACAGAGCATTGTAGGACTTAAAAAAATGAATAAATGATTTGAATTAAGCTTTTCAATTACAAATGGGGAAACTGGAACACTGTTAGCTTCATTTACTTTTTTCAAAGTCACAATTCTTAGTTCTACAGAAAGGATCAAATGTACTTCTCTGAAAGCCCATCTCCCCTCAAATCCATTTTGTACACTATCACGACTCATTAATTCATTTCATAAAAGTAGAATATTAATCTAAACATATATCTATAAATAAAATATTTAGATCAATTGGTATATAACACTTTAAAAATCTCAGTTCTCCAGGTAAACTTGAGACTGTCAAAATAGACAACTAATATAAAATATATTTATTTCCTTTTTCTTCCCCAAAAGAAGATATTTATCTTAAATACATTTGACAAATATTTCCTTTGAATTTACTTGCAATTGCCTAATCTGGCTAGTCTAATGGTTTGGTTATCTGTGCCTATAATGGAAATATTTTGAACAGGTTTACTTGAAGTTTCCCTGTCTCTATCCTAGTTAAAATAGATGCTACATGCTTGGTTGGCTGGAGTTTTGAATTATAATTCTTCAGTTGCTGATTGCTGTCTATAAACCTGATTGGGACAGGTTTCCATATGGATTCTGACTCACTATAAACTCAAGGAATGAATGTGAACTGAAAGTTATGACTCAATCCATGTACTCCTGTGGGAACTGGTACTGTTACAGATACTTCTGTTCTTGCAACTAACAGCTTTGATTGAACATGTATTCATGACATTAGTCCAGGTGAAAAATCTTTGCAGTCTGAAAACTTTCATGCTTCTAAGGAAAGTGAATGCATAAGGTATAAACTTGCAAGAGTAATCTGAAACAGAAGGTCATCATTTAAAGTTTTTTTCAAAATGGCAAGAAACATTTTGAAAAAAGAAAAGATAGTGAGAAAGTAGGAACAGTTCAAACACTGATAATTCTATTAATTCTCATGTGGATCAAATTATTGCTTGTCCAAATATTGCTACTTTATTTGTTGACAGAATAATTAATGTATCTTAAGTACTGTTATAAAAGAAGGTAGTATATGGAATGTGTTTAGTTCTATATCACAAGGATTTATAGTTATTTAAGATAAACTATATTTTATCAAGTTTGTTTTAATATGAAATACGTTGACATAAGTGTAAAAGCAGAATGGCGTAAAAAGGTATATGTTGAGAGATCTTGCCCTAACTCCGTCCCAATACCTACTGTCCCCTCAACCTCCTCCTATGAAAATCAAGTGTATTTTTTAAATAAAACCAACCTGATTTAATGTACATATGGATACATTTTCATTGTTCTTCATCATTTTTTTGCTATAAGTTTTTTATTTAATCAGTACACATTGGGTAACTTTTATGCCAGTACACAGAGAACTCCTTAATTTTTTTTTTAAGATGCAGTTTTCCACTGTGTAAATACAAGACATTTTTATTTAACACATGTCCTATTACTTCATCATGGATTGTTTCCAGTCTTTTGCTGTTATAAATGATGTTGCAATGAGGATATCTACATACAGATGAATATGTATGTGTAGTTACATTTTCTGGGTATATTCCCAGAAGCGTATTGGTGATTTGATATGTAGTATTGGTAGTTATTTCTAAGTTGGTTTTCATATGGTTGTTTATTTGTATTCAAAAGAATAAAATATAAGTAACTATTTCCTTAAAACCTGATCAACAGAATCCAATATTTGTCACAATATTTATCTCATATTATGAATTATTTTCCTTTCAAGAGAGATAAGCAGATATCAGCATTTGCATTTTTGATGATCGTCTTGCCTGGCCAGAATGAGCCTCGGGAGTGTTTGTTCATCTCCACCTGATTTGCCCACCTGTGCCTGGTGCTAGTCTCAAAGGTCCTTTTTCTTAAGGCCTCTACTGTTAAAGCTCTCTCCTTGTTTTGGTCACCTACCCAAGAAAAATTTCCTAGAAATTAATCTAGTGAGTAACTGTAAATCTTAATTTTCTACAAGCAGCCCAAGTGATTCACTTGCAACTTTTCTGTGGACTATTTCTTGAGAAATGCTATTTTGAACAATCATTACATTAGCTGTTCATTCTTTCATATTGCAGAACAGTATTTAGTTTTAATGGTTCTTAAACTAAAATTTTATTGGCTGTTTTCTGACATACAAAATTCCACATAACAGTGTAGCACAAATGACATTATTCTCAGAGGATCTACCTCTAAAAATTGTTAAATAGGCAAAAATTCTATTGATGTTGCAAGGGTCAAGTCATCCCACAACTACCTTTATTGTTGATATTTTATACTTTGTATTGATAGCTTTTCCTTCTCTTTTTTTTAAATAATTGTCTTTTAAGGATCAATCTACATTCTTAATTATGTCTCCAAGCCTGATTAGTATTAGTGATTAGGTGCTTAGCCTAAGAGATCAATATGACATACTAGAGTTTTAATTCATTTTCTCACAGCATATTGTGTTATGTGGGCTTTGTGGTTAGTTCTGATATAACAAATTACTGGACAAATTACTGAAGATTTATATATTTGTAATTGCAGATAGCATGGTGTGATCTGTGTGCGGGAGGTATTCTACAGGAGTAAGTTGTCTGTGTAATCTGTCTGTCACACAGTCAATTCAGTGATGTGTTAATTATGGTCCCAACTGTACAGGGAAATATCTTTACATTTTCTTGAGCACATTCCCACATTCAAGAATGTACTATAAGAGTATTTTGACCATAGTAATTATTTTTTATTGTCATGTGATTGAACTTGATGTAAAGAAATAAAACATAAGTTGGTGTGATGGTCAAACATGGGAAGGACTGTACCTTTCAATGAGGAAAAACAGGGAAAAAAACATCATATCGAGCACTTGTTATGGGTCAGGAATTATGTTATGGGATTTTCTAGCAGAGTCATTAACTTTAAGAATAACCTGGGAAGTTATCATAATTCATATTTTGATCTGTGAATCAGAGAGAGTATGTAACTTTCAACTGTCAGAGTTTGGACCTAAGTACAGGCTTACAACCCATGCTTTTCAAATATTTTGAAAGTTAATTCTTATTTTTAACACGATTTTTGGAAAACAACTCTTGCCTGATAATATTTACCTCTAAATATTCTGAAAAAGTATTTTAATTTCACATCCACTTTTCAACACAGCAATCACATTTCTAGTAGAATGAATGTTCAAAGTATCAAACTATTGTGTGTTCTCTCCTTCTAGGGATGCTACATGACACACCAAATTATAATCACAAAGTCTGTCAAATTTTTAATGAGAAATGCAAATGCTCAGACAAAACATTTTGTAAAGTTTGTAGAGCATATTTGTCTCTTGGCAATTTACTTGGAACCTACTAAGTATTTATTAGATTGTGAGTTGATTTTGAAGTCAGAACAAAGGTATTTACAAAGAATTTATCAGCTAAGCTGGGTACAACACTCCGACCAGTTGTTTGCTCATCTTTTTCTCTCTCACCATTAGAGTACATTTGGCTCTTTGAGAGATCTTCATAGCTATGGTTGAAGTATCTCACATGCTCTCTCATCATATATATAGACAGTATCAAATTATATAAAAACTAAAGCAAAGGAATAATGAGCACAGAATTCAGAATAGAGGTAGCAACATTGGGCAATGAAAAGAAGATGAGGAAAGACCACAAAACTCATTATGTGCTAAGTTATTGTCATCATTCTAATATTCAGATATATGTTAATTTTTACTGTAGATGATATATATAGATAGGCTTGCATGAAACAGTGATGAGCATAAGGATTAACCCAGCTTTATACACTGAAAATCCATTATATAAAAAGTGAGAAAAGGAAAAATAAATTAAATTTTATCTAGGAAAAGCAGTTTTGATATAATCCCTGAATGAGTTTTCATGATATTGCTGCCAGAAAATTACAATTGGAATTCGAGCTTTCCCATATTACTCAGCATACATTGATATAGAAATATTGCATATTTGGTTATTTCACAGATGGCTAAGAATTTCTGTGATGTTAGATTTACCTATTTTTTTCCAAGATTACCTCATATGTCTTCATGTTCTTGGGAAGGGAGTGCATCTTAATATCACAAGCAGATGTTGTTTGAAATATGCCAGTTGAAAGGACTGGTCAATAATAAAAATAGAAAAAAAATATTAGGGTCGGAGGAGAAAATAATACCAGTGCTATTCAACTACTATAATGAGATGTATGAGCTCTCTAGTTCTAGAGACAGGTGTATTTCTACTGGGCAGAGAGATGCATAAGATTACCAGAAGCAATTATTACTAAAAATCCTCCCCTTTATTCAGACTTCATGACTACCAAGCAGTTCTTGAAAATGTGTTGGTTTCCTATGCAAATCATCTCAATGGAGAAAATACATTAATCAACAAGAAGTAAGCAGTATTTCTCATTGCAAAATAAAAAGTTGACATTGCAACGTATATATCAGCCTCTGAGAGCTAAGTCAGTCTACTCCTGATAAACAGTATGCTGGCAAAAGGTGATTTCCATATCCATTGAGTGCTGGCAAAAGTTGATTTCTACCTCAAGTCTGCACACAGGATCTGGGACAGACTGCCAGAGTAAAGCCGGCCTCTTGTATCTCTTGGTCGACAGCCAACTTATTTCCCCTGATGACACTCTGACTCCCCTGCTCTTCCTATTCACAGGTCCACAGGTTCTACTTGATTGAAGTGCCCCCTCGAGCCTGCACAAAGGGGGATAACGCTCTTAATTAGAGTTCTCAGTATGTGACTCAAAACATTCTGTGAAGACACCAATCATAAACCTTCAAAGGAAAAGAGAATTGGAGAATGCCTGCTTTGCACAACTAACTTCCTCTGAGTTCACTCTTTCCTCCTTCCCTTCTGTTTTCGATCATGTTGCCTGTCTGGCTAGACCATATAATTTCAGAACTTGCTTCACCTTAAACTTGATGAAAGCCATCAGAACAAAGCACGTGTGCAAGAGTAAGGATTGTACTTCTCAGCTGCAGCCCCAAGAGTTAATAGCACTTGAAATAGGGGAGAAATTTTGTTATTTACTCATTTTGTGTTACTCGTAAGTTAAGGCAAATATATGAAAAATTGTTGAATATTTTGAGTGAATTGGCACAGCTACTCAGATAGTTTGTAACGAATATCTTGACATATGAGGAGAAAGAATACATTTTATTAATTGATACAATTTTACTAATAAGTTCTACTAATTATTAGAATTTAAATTATAAGAATTTAAAAATAGCAGACTGTATCCAATGTTCATCAGTCATGTATGTGTAACCATGTGTGTGCCTGTGTGTCTGTCTACACAGAAATGCACATAAAACAGGGTTATGCAATGAATAGTTCACAAATACATTGTCACCAGAGGTTCCCAGGAAGCTTACCCTGTATTTCACCTAGGCACATTGGTTCAATATTCATTAATTAAGTTCTTACACAAAAATTATGGACTGTAACTGCTATGAGTAACAAGAATTAACTATACACACACCTCACACATATGTTTGTGTATAACTCAAAGTTTAATAACACTTATTGGAATCAGAGAGATTTTATGCTTGTTTTATGCATGTTAAATGCTTGATTGTCATCTACCTAAGTACTACATATTCTATTTTTTTAAATAAATTTAATATTTATTTGAATGCATTACTCAATTAACAATAGACTATTTCATCAATACAAACCAGATAGGGCAATAAAATACAGCAGTATAATACAGAAAATGTAAACTACTTGTTCTAGAAATGATTTATGGCCGGCTTTGCTGCAGCTCTCCTCACCATACCAATAAACAAGAACCTACGTATTCTCAGCTTTGTAAATATACTCTCTCTGGCCACAGCTGATTGTACCAAGAGATGCTATCTGACTTAAGAAACACCAAAAGAAACCAATAATTAGAACTACATACATTGTGAAGCATTAAAATGAAGTCTTTGAATTTGCTGATGTCTGTTTAGAACCATACTGAATATGGCCAATCTTATTAGTCCTCATTCTTGGATTAATGAGAATTTTTTTCTAAACATTTATCTTAAACCACAACTCCAGCTATTCTAATGTGCGAAGAATATGTTTTTCTGAGCAAAAGTTCCTGACAGAAATAACTGCCATATAACTATTCATCAAGAAATTTGTATTTGTACCGTATTTCTTTAAATCAGCAATGGTTTCTTAACAGAAGTTGGGCCTTCTACCATATGGTATTTAAATTCTAATGAAGTTAATTATGAATTTCTCATTTAAGACTCTGGTTAGAAGAAACCAGATATTTACCTTTTGATAATTCATTATTTAAGGAAATGTGAAACAAATACTTAATTATGAAACAGGGCTTAGAAACTTCCATTTTTACACAGGATAAATCATTTAGACTATCTGTGCTGAAGTATCTCAAATTTGAAATGGAAGCAGAAACTCCTCCCATACTTATACCAAAATGTTGATGTTGGCAACAAATTAAATTAGGAAAATATGATTACATTATTTAATCATTTAGTTGGTATTCTCAAATATTTCCCTTTGGATAAATTGTGACAATGTAATCTATGAGAATCTCCAGCTTGTTCAGGCATCAGTCTTACTCATTATAAAAATATAATTCTGTGTAGTAGAAAAAAAATAAACATAGGTTGATGGAATTGTGTGTAGTGGAAGAAAATTAACGTGGTAGATACGTGTAGTACATGGACTTATTACCTGTAGGCCAGTTGTTTCAACTCTGACTTGATATTCCTATTTGTATGCTGTACCTAATAGATACCTCCTCTAATTTTCAACTGAATATCCAAAAGAAATACATACTTTAAATCTCCTGTGTTAAGAGGGGTCATCATGTTAATAAGTTTAGGCTAATAAAACATAAGTAGAAGTATTGTAGCTGAAGACTTAAAAAAGATCTAGCACCCATACTTTCTCATTAGGCCCTTTCTCCTCACTGGTCCTTGAAAATTGAAATTAATTAGACCAAATGGTCTAGTAGATGGATGCTAAGCTGTGTTCAGATTCTACTTTCTGGGAGTACTCTCCAACTTTCTAGGAGTGTTGACCTCCTGGGAGGTCTTACTCACACCTAGACCATCACACTTAATAGCAGCCAATGAGTGATCAATGTGGTAGAAAGACTCACTCTCTTTCTAACTCTGAACACAGCTCTGAACAACTCTGAGTAGTGTGACATCTGACATGCTAACTAAACTCTAAATCTCCATTTCTTTGCCTATAATATTAGTAAAATAGTTACTTTCCTTTTTAAGGGTTCTGATTTTGAATTAGGTTGAATATATAGGCATCTTATATACTTGTATACTTTACATAAAAATTTTAATTGTAGTTGTCAATATTATTGATGCTATGCCATTTTCAACTTCATTAATTAATAGTTATTTGTGGAGAATGGAACACTATTTCCTAACCAAAATATAACAATCCTTTCCAGCTTTGGGGTCCAACTTTATTCTTTTGGTTCAGTGGACTCTGTTACCTATTACCTAAACATTTGTTGAATCTATCATTAACATGTCAAAGGAAGGCCTAATTATTATATTTAAAAGTATCAAATCAGACTCTAATTTCTCAAATTAGCATCCAAAGATATCACTTGATTCTTATAGACTCTTGCTTTATTAATGAGCTTCCAGGGAATCAAAATGAAAAAGGTTTAGTGTTAATTAAAAGACTAATATTGATAAAACACTTGTCTACAATAGAAAATCCTCATGATGAAAGCAGTGATTTTACTGAAATTAATTGTTTCTGCTAAAAGTTAATGATGAATATAGATACATGAAAGGCAGATACAAATGTTTATTTTAAGTAGTTCCTGTAAGGCAAGGAATTGAGGGATGAGTTGGTCAATCTAATAAAACAGGGTAGCAGTATACTCACAGCTGGAAAGCAGATCTGGTTCCTAATCCAGTATTGGATCCCAGAATTTAAAAATACAAGTTAACTAAGTTTTTTTCTCCTCATCAGTCTTTCTACCTTTAAAAAATGATAACGAATGATGATGATATTATACATGGCAGCTAGAAAAAATAGAAGAATGTTTAACAGTGGTTTTATTTCCTAATGATATGATTATTCCCTGTCTTGGAGATAATTTAGCACTAGATCTAGTTGTTTTTCTATGTTAGTACTTGCATCATTTGAAGGCCAATCAAGAAGAAACTATGTAGCAATATGAACAGAGAAAATGCAGTGTAAAGAATTATTAGCTAATAATTAGAGATCAGTTGTGAGGGGGTAATGAAACAAAACAAAATGAAAACCTCTAATGAATGGAGGAATATCAGACATGGGGAGGAACCACTCCTTTGAAGGTTGAAAAGGAGAAACATACAGAAAGGCTCCCCAACTCCAATCACAGTCTGTGTCAGACAGAGGGAGAGTTTGCAGCCGTCACTTACTAGACAGGGAAGTCCACTGAGGGTCCACTGAGGGACCACAGGCTGGGGGAGCCAGGCAGGCAACAGCCCTCTGGTGTGCCGACTGAATTTGCTTGGTAACCATGTACAAAAAAGCGTGTGAGCCCCACTTGGCATTCCTGTAATGCTGCCTATTTAGGTACTAGTGGAACTGGCCAGGAACTCACAGACACTCACCGGGAAGCCATCTACTAGGGTGATGGTGAGACTTGCTGGGGGTGAGTGTCGTTGGGTATTCTCTGTACATACCATTGGCAGCCAAAGGAGAAATAAAAGGAATGGAAGCACCTGGGAACAAACAAGAGAAGACATTTACTTTTTCAATGAACCTCCATACCCTCTACTGATAAAGTTTAACAATGTGCCAGGTAATATAGGAAAAATGCTCAGAGAGCCAAGCTGTATTACATGGCTCAAACAATGAAGTATGTATATGGAGTTGTGTACCAATAAATTGATAACGAGGACAGTACCTGAAACATGATGTCCTTAAAAATTACAAAGTGCATCACTGAAAATACTTCTCCGTGTATATATAACCATTTCTTTTCAATTTAACATTACCTTTGCCACTCACTCTCTTATCCCTTATTTTCACACGCATAAGTAACGCCCGATAGAGGAAATCCCATTGGATTAGTGGTTAAGCACCATAACAAAAAAGATTGCTTGCTAAACTTACAACTCATTAAGTTTACATGTTGTAATATAACCAATTAATCTCAGATCCATAAATAAGAACTTTTATTAATAGAATACATTTTGTTGTTCCACTAATAAGCTTGACAAGAAATTTACAGTACCATAATAAAATATAATGCATTCAGTTAAAACACTATAATTTAAAAGACTGAAGAGTTATAAGCATAGTAAATATGTAACTTTGTCTATCTCATAGTCAGTCTGACATAAATATTATTATTGTAAATTAAGAAAATACTATTCCTTTATGGAATATGTTATATGAAGCTCAAATTGGTATGTTGTTTCTGTATATATGGCATAGAGATGTTTACTTTGAAGATTTTTGATATGTATATTCTTAATAATGATGTACTGACATACTTTTGCTATTGAATAGGATAAATTTGAGACATATTACTAATAATAAAATCGATCTTTTTCATTAATTACACTTTAAGTTATTCGATGAGTCATTACAAAATGTATCTGAGTATTTGTCTCAGAGAAATGTAGGACATGTGAATCAACAACCTCACTTGGCTCTATAACTAGTGAAAAATTACATTGCTTCTTAAATTTGGATCACTATTTAATTTATAAAGGACTATGCTAAAATACATAACATAAATTATATATACATTCAAGTAAATTTATTACTTTTTTCAAAGTTATAAACTACTTGCTGATACTTTTTAAGGTTGGAGAAGAGAATTTGATAACATTGTTGCAACCAGAAAAAGGAAGGTCCTAAATGGAAGTATTGTGATAATAATACTTTAAGATCTTTTTTATCATGAAGGAAAAATACGCAACAGATAACACAGTCTGCAAAACAATTCATTTGCTTCTCAGATGGCAGTTTTGCTATGTACCTCCAGTGGAGGTACACACACAGAAAAGACTGAGGAAATAACTGGTTTGATTAATTTGCACTCTACCACCGAGTGAGTCAAGGAGAAGCAAAGTTCCTTGTCATTTTGAAACTTTCTAGGTGACCAAACACACTGAATACACATGAACATATGCTGAAAAAGGACACAAAGGTGGACTTGAAAAATTAGGAAATAGCCAGAATAGCAAGCATTTTGTCTGAAATTTGCTAAAATCACTCCTTAGGTAAATATTTGAAAAAGAAGTTCAGACTTTATATAATTAAGCTGGTAATAGCCTACTCCAGGCATTGCAGCAACTCACCTTATCTTTCCTTTGATTTGGTATTTTTTAAAGAAAAATAGATGCACAAGGGAAAAAAAAAATAAACCTTTGGAGAGCCCTTGAGGGAAGGAAAAGTCTAAATAGGCAAACAGTACTGCTTTTAATGTATTTGGATTGAACGTTTCTCCACTTTCATATTATTTATGTGTAATAAAATGATAAATCATTGATACATTTTTAAAGTTAAATATATTAAATAATATTTTAAGGTGATTATGTAAGTCTTCGGGTAGATGTGTATTATATCCAAAAATAAATCAAGCAGAAATATTTGATAAAGAATTTACAATGTGATTATCAGATGACTACTTTTTAGCCCAGAACCCTTACAGAATGCCTAAGAGATATACTGCAAGGGGGAAGAGAACAATTGTGATGAGCAGGAATAACTATCTAATTTTTCCAGACAGGAAAAAGAAGGTCCTAAATGGAAGTAATGTTGTGATAATAACATCTTAAGATCTTTTTTATCATGAAGAAAAAAATTTGCTGAAGGTTATTTAATAGGGGAAGCTTATAAAACCGTGCCTTTGCTTGGCTGCTGCACAGAGACACTGACGGCAGCATTTATATCAGGCTTTACGTACTGAAGACTGAGGTCCCCAAATAATGAGTCCTGGCATCAATGTGTTCTTAAAAAAGGCAGTAGTAGACAGAAGAGAGGTGCAAAGCTGTCAAAGCTAAAATGGAAATGAAATTAAATGTAAACAAAAATAATTCAGTTCTTCTGAAACATGATGAACCATTTAACTACTTTTAGTAATTCATTATTTCCCACAGCAAAATTCATTTTTGAAATGCTAAGCTCCCAGGTGAAGGGCCCGGAGCAAGGCAGGCAGAGGAACAATGCAATGGTATGAGCTCCTTGTGTTCACACAGAGCATGCTAGAAAGAAAGTACACAACACCCAACTACCTCCTATGCATACTACACATGAAGTATTGGGCTCACCACCGAATACAATAAAATTAGAGAAAAATATATACAATTTTCACCTCCTCTTTGGTGCTTAGGAGATGATTTGGACATGGGTCCATCCAATCTCTGTAAACACTCAAATGTAAAAGAAACTCCCAGAAAACCACAGGATCTCTTATTACTAATAAAAACATATGTTAAGCATATAGGGGAACTAGATCACTCATTTATTATTGTGAATGTAAAATGCCACAGCCACTATATAAAATAGTTTGGCAGTTACTTAAAAAAACTAATCATATAAAAACTAAATAACGTAGTGATTACACTCTTAGATATTTATCCCAGAGAAATCAAGACATATGCTCATGTAAAAATCTCTGCCTAGGATTCATTGCAGCTTTATTTGTAATAGGTAAAGTACATACATAGGTAAAAAATGTTTAAAAAGAAGAAACAACCAAGCTATCTTTAAATAGGTGAATGGTTAAATTAACTGTGATACATTCATATTGTGAAATACTACTCAGCAATAAAAGGGACAGAACTTCTGTCATGGAATGATCTGGGTACATTTTCAGAAAAATTATTCTGAGTGGAAAAGCCAATTTCAAAAGATTGCATACTGTGAGATTCCATCTATATAACCTTCTTGATATGGTAAGTGTGTAGAAAGGGAGAAAAGGTGAGTGGTTTTCAGGATTTTCTGATGGATCAGAGTCAGGTAGGAAGAGGATGTGGGAAGGACAAGATGTTCCTTACATGAGGTAAATCTTCTTTATTCTCACCTTATCAATATTAAAACCACAGTTGTGGTATTGTACTATAGTTTTTCAAGGTAGTGCCTTATTGGAAATGGCATAAAGGGTACATGAGATTTCTCTGCATTATTTTTTTTTTACAACTTCTTGTGAGTCTGCAATTGTCTTAAAATTAAATAAGAATTAAACAAAAACATTTTTCTATGCTCAAGCAATCAATCAGAATATAACTATTTAAAATATAATCACTCAACTTTCTAGACTCTAAGTTAAAAAACGATTCTAAAATGGTCCCTTTCTAGACTCCAAGATACATATGTTATGCTTTGCTATATAAAAAACCTTTTCCTGGCTACCTAATAAGGTAAGGAAATCATTATAAAATGAAAATAAGTTTATAGAAACACAACGATATCTCTATTGGAGAAAATATAAGATCCATTTAAGTATATTTAATTAACCCCTAACTAAGTTAAGAACCGAAAAAACCTTGATGAAATAAAAACAGTAATTATAATAATATTCAGTTTTAAACATATATTTTAATTTGGATGTTATTTTTTTGTTTTTATATAACAGCTTTATTGAGGTATAATTTGTATACAATAAACTACACACATTTAAAGTGTTCAAGCCAATAAATTTTGAGAGATGTATATACACCCTTGAAACACCACCACAATCAAGATACAGAACGTTTCTATCACCTTAAAAACTTCCCTGTGTCCCTTTGTAATCCATGTCCCTCTTAACTCTCTGCTCTACACAACCATTGACCTGCAGTTAGTTTTCATTTTCTAGGGTTTCATATAAATGTAATCATTACAGTATCCACTGTTGTATGTCTGGTTTCTTTCCCCCAGCACAGATTTTGAGATTTTCATGTTTGTTAATGATTTTCATCCATGTTTTGTTTCGCCTTTTAAAAACGTCATTCCAGTTGACTTTCTCATTTGCTATGCTCAAGCAATCAATCAGAATATAACTATTTAAAATAAAATCTCGCAACTTTCTAGACTCTAAGTTAAAAACGATTCTAAAATGGTCCCTTTCTAGACTCCAAGATATACATGTTATGCTTTGCTATATGTATATAGCTGCTATATACTGCTGAGAACAGAGAATTAATTCATTAGGGTTCCTTAGGCCCACTAAATAGACCTGCTATAGTTCTTTAATTTACAGCTTTTCCCTAATTCCCTTTTAAGTTATCACTTACTAAGTTCTGCATGCTAACTATGTGTTATTATTTGTGTGTTTTTAAGACCATTTTATACAGAAGACAAGTTTAAAGAGGTTATGTAAGCAAATTGGTTAAGCTCAAGGGCTCTGGATAAGAATGCTAGAGTTTGACTCTTGGGTCTGTCTTGTAGCTGTGTTATCTTGGACAAGCTACTAAATTTTCTATGTCTCATTTTTTTCACATATATAAAATGTGATTAATAATAATAGTACTTACTGTATGGGATTATTGAGATGATTAAATGAGCAACGTGTGTAAAGTGCTTAAAACACTGCTTAGCCTATGGTGTCTCTAAATGCTAGCTGAGTAAGTACTGCCCAAGGTACTTAACAGCTAAAAAGTGGCAGAAACATAAATTTGTAGCTTCAGGCTCATTGTAATCAGCACACAATAGTCACTAGACCAATTTTATAATTCATGATGGGGCTCACAGATGGAGGTTTCACGAACATAGTAACATAATATCG